CACGTCTCGCTCCAGCGCCTGCTTGAAGACGGCTTTGTTAATACAGGCTGCATTTAAACGTACTTTATCAATGCTAATGGCTCCCCCGCCACGCCTGAGTAAGGTCCCAACGGAGGAAAATGGAAAATAAATTGAATACATGATTTTAGTCAGCTGAGCGAGCGCCATTTGCATTCTCCCCTCCAGACAGTTTCACCGTGTATGGATGTCAAGTTTCAGGTTGTTTTTTGCATTTTCCATTGTAGAAGCTCTGAGGAAGGGCAGCTTCCCTGTGCTGTTTGTGTATGTCTGAGCACAGCATGCTCTTGGGGTTCAGGGAAGCTTGTGAAGATGCTGTCTGGCCCCACATGGGATGCTGGGCTCCGGAGGAATGGGTCTGTGGCTGGTTAGCCCCCCAGGCAACCGGGCAGCAGCCACTTTTGGTGTCGCTAAAAATCCTAAGAGGTGTTGGGCTCGTGCCCCCAGACCAGTCATCAGCTGGTCATCATCTGGCTACAGGGGCAGCTTATGCCCGCTTAAACTAGCTTGGTTGATTTCAGCTACTAACAAAAGCCGTCAATAGCACTGATACCAAGGGTGTGGTTTGAATAATACACACTACAAACAACATAATACACTTAAAATGCGGCCTGATAAATGTATTCATGAAGATGGAATGAAATGCTGCTTTATTTTCCATTCGGAGAGTGTAAGTACAAGTACACTGGAATGCTTCTTCTTGCATATTCCAGCTTGCACTTCTTTAAGACACTCACACATTACTGAGGCCAATTTGCTGCATATGCAGAGTATAAGGACAAACATACACCTAACGAGGATTGTAGTCTTGTATCAGACATCGTTTTATCATATGGATCAGTTTTTTTGTTTTTTCCTTCCCTAAACAGTGATAGTCTTATTTTAAATGATGGAATCTTTAAATTATCGCATGTGTGCCCATTGTGATGCCACTGCACACACACAGGTGGGCGTGAAGACCTGGGCACACACAGCCATTTATCCTCGGCCCTGGAGCATTTAGCAGAGTCCTGCTGGAAAGCTTTCAGCAAGCTGCACAACACCTATAATGTATGATCAGTAATTTTCATAATTCCTTATTTTCCCAACCGTGAAATGAGCTGATTATATTTTTGGAGCCTGTCCTGTGAGACGAGCATCTAAAGTATTGCTAGAAAGGTTTTGCATCTGTTCTGACCTGCAGGTGTATTTTCGCCTGATTAATATGAGGGTTTTTCTGGAACTGATCTAATTATGTACGAGATAGTCCAGACCCGGAGTAATCGCCTGTCGCTGAAGCACGTGCTGATAGTTATCTTCAGTCCAGTGCTAATAGATTCCTTTGTCTGTTCTATTCCACAGCTAGTACAGGTAGAACATAGCACAGTGTTTCTGTGGATTTACTAGTTTCAAGTCGCCATGAATTTGGTTTTGGGGCAGGGTATCTGGATCAGGGATCACATGTTTGCTGCTGTGTCCCTAACATCACCCAACATTTAATACTGTTATTGCAGTTAATAGGAATGATTTTCCTTTGTTTTAAAAACTCTAATGTAGGGCATGAGATATTTTACACACAGTCGTCTGCATCAGGTTTAAATATCAGCATGTGCATCAATGAATTACAAGTCTAATAATACTCAGTATACAGCAGGAAATCTATTATGATAAAAATACAATGTACTGGAACCTTTAACAGCTTTTTATGAATTAGAGGGAAAGAAAGACCATCCATATGTTTTTAATATAACTGAATGGCGTGAGCCTGGGCTGGTGCAGAGCCTCATTGGGTAGCAGTATCACGTCACATCTCCTGTGTGTGTGTGTCTGTCTGTCTGTCTGTGTGTGTGTGTGTGTCTGTCTGTGTGTCTGTGTGTGTGTCTGTCTGTCTGTCTGTGTGTGTGTGTGTCTGTGTGTGTGTGTGTGTGTCTGTGTGTGTGTGTGTGTGT